TGTGTGTGTGTGTGTGTGTGGTTGTGTGTGTCTCACCCTCCACAGTCTGACCAGGATCCAGTTGGTCTGAGCCCAGGGTCTCTGTTCATATGGAGCCAGGAGGTTCCTCATCATGGCGACTCGTCTATGATCAGATCAGATGGTGGATGTTGATTGGTCGTTTACAGCAGCCAATAGCCCCCCCTCGACAGTAACCATCAGTTTAACAATGAATGTGACGGTGCAGCTCTCTGATTACCACTAACTGTCAGGATTTAGTCACAGGGAGGAAGTTCAAAATACAGAAAAAGTTCTGATTGGACACAGAATGAGTCAAACAGTGTGACGTGTTGTAGAAGAAGAGAAAACACAGATTCAGGTGTAAAAATACCAGGATGTTGGTTTTACAGAGAAATGAAGAGTGAACAGAGAGATGCAGGATTCAACCTGGAACATGATTCATGTGCTTTAAAGGAGCTGGACGTAGTTTTCTGTAAAACAAAAAGTTTTCTGAAAACTAGCAGCTGAAACTGTGACCGTCAAACAAACACTCACTGCTCCTCTGGGATCCTCTCCACTGCCCTGAGGGATTGTGGGTAGCAGACGTAGCTGGCGAGGGCCTGCATCAGAGAATCTTTAATATCTGACAGAATAGACATTAAATACATCACGTTAGAGTCGATACAGACGGTAATGCACCATGAATACAGTGTGTGTGTGTGTGTGTGTGTGTGTGTGTAACCTGTTCCGACGATGCGTGGATCAGCAAAATGTTTGGCGAGGATGGCAGCTAGTTGAGTTAGTGTTTCTTCATAACCTAAAGAGAAGAAGATGATAAGCTGACAAACATTCAATCTGTCGTCATGGAGATAAGCTCAAACAGGAAGGCGAGTGTGACACACAGGAAGTGATGTCACTTGAACTTCACAGTGTTTGATACCTGATGATACAGGATGACGAAGCTGCTGCTGTTACAGTCTGTCCTCAATGATTTGAACAGTCAGAATATTAGGAACAGCAGCAGCCCGGTCTTGTGTGATGACTCGACTGAGAGTCACATGATATTTTACCATCACCTAGGAAACAGGTGACTTTGCAAACATGCGACCCATGTGTCACCTGGTAGCTCCTCCATGTTGTTGGCGGGGCTGAAGTAGTTCTTCAGGGCGCTGTAAGCGTTCATGGCCACGTTGAGGTAGAATTCTGGAGTGAAGGCGAACAAGGAGCCCGTGTTGTCGGCATGTTCGATGGTGCGAATGCAAACGCACAGCAGCCAGTACACATCCAGCATCTTCTCCTGCACACACACACACACAGTGAGATCAAACCATAGAAAAGTGTGTGCAGTGTGAGCATTGTGAGAAGTGTGAGGAGTGTGAGGAGTGTGAGAAGTGTGAGAAGTGTGAGCAGTGTGAGGAGTGTGAGTGTGAGCAGTGTGAGCAGTGTGAGGAGTGTGAGGAGTGTGAGCAGTGTGAGGAGTGTGAGGAGTGTGAGGAGTGTGA